GCACGAATTTGATTTCATATACTGAGAAAAGAAAAAGAATCGCCAATTTATGTAGGGGCTTCTTTTTATTTATTCGTATGGGTGTGTCTCCAAATGGGCAAATGATGATGGCAGAAGACTTTCTTGATTCCCAACTGTAGACATGTGAATAAGCTGAGCATAGTGCAATATCGGAGAGAAGAGGTTTATCCCTGGAGATCTGTGCACTAGAGAGGCCTAATTCAATTTCGGCTCGAAAAGTATGTGCAGCTTTGTGCATGATATAGCTATGTTGTTCTAGAGCTGGCTTTGTATCCTCTGTTGGCCAGAGAAGATGCTGCATATGGACATCATTCTCACAAATTGAGTCTGGTTAATGATGTTGTGTGTTGGGCTACAAGATCTATGAAAAATTGTATTATTAGGTGACAACTTTTAATATTTTAGTATTATATATCAACACCATAATAGCAACTCACTTGGTGACCTTGTCCCATTCAGCAACAAGATCTACTCTGGGGACTTGGAGAAAAGGTTGGGCGTAACAACATGCCTATGTGTTTTGATCCAAAACTTACCGGAGAAGAAAGGAGATAGGTACGATGAAGGAAAATCATGCAAAAAGAAAATCCAATGAGGTAACGATCAAAGAAAAGATAGGGAGTGTACCTTCCTAGATGGAGGAAACTGTTCATTTTCTGTAAAGAGAAAAGCTAGGGTATATGCAGAGAGAAAAACTAACGTCTGATGAAATCTTTTGCGGGGAGGTTGGATTTATTATGAGCTTTGTTATTTATACATCTCACCTTAAAACCTACTAAAATTTATCACTCAATGAAATCCTTCCAAATATATGAAATTTTGAATACACCTAGATTTTATTGAAATTTTTTATAATCCTAATTGAACACACGCATATTTGTATGGACTTTTTAAAAGTTAATACAAGTATAAATTGAATACACTTAGGGGGGTGTATCCAATTCTAACTTTTAATGACTTTTAATGAGTTTAAAAGTCTGAAGGTATTCAATTGTGACTTTTAAATAGTCTTTAAAAGTTTAGTTGTATTCAATTGTGAGTTTTAAAAAGTATTTAAAAGTTTTGAGGTATCCAAAATCTTAATGACTTTTAAAAACTTTGTTAAATAAATAACTTTTCAATACTTTGAAGCTAATTCTTACTACTAAAAGTCTTGCTAATTTACACCAGATTTTATGAAAATATTGGGAAGCTAGGAAGATATAACCAAAATGTCTCCAATTCTTTCTTCCCTCGTTATATCAAGCAACAAGTAATAGGTCTTTTTTCTTCATGGTTAGGGCTTCACTTTGGTAACCCATCTTGTCATCCACTTCCTTCAGTTTAGGTTAGTAAAAAAAATTCAATGTTTTTCTTCCCTTCTCATCCACACGTGTACTTTCCCTCTGTTGATGAATATTTCTTCTATTCTTTTCATCATGCTTGCATCCTGAAGCTTATCAATATTTCATCACAAAGCTATGTTTGCATATAAATATTTTATTATATTGATTGTCTCATAT